AGCCACTTTAGATTTCACAAAGATCGTTATTGTAGATAAGAAACAATACAGGAGCAAAGATAGAACCTTGTACTACCCATAAAGTTACTTGAAATAAAAAAGAGGGTAGGACTTCAAGAATAACTTTACTACTGCAGTTCTGTACTTTACTACTGCAGAACTGCAACTTTACTACTGCAGTACTGCAGAAAGAAATAATTTAATAACCTCAAAACCTTTATATAAAGAAACTAATAACAGAGTGAAGACTAATTGTAGGATAGTTGGAGAGGTCAAAGTGTTTTGAACCACTTATTTAGCACTTTTTTTAAGTTTAGCAAAAATTGAAGTGAGTTTTGGAGAACACCTTTTTTAAGACTATGATGGAGCACAAATTGTACAAGTGTTTAATTGAGAATTAACTTTAGCATTGGAAGCTAGAGAGATTTCGATGTTTAATAATGGGTTTATGTGTTTAACTGTCAGGAAGAGTATGACCATTATATTCAAGAGTCAAATTAGAGTAAGATTTCTTTACAAATAACTATGCATTATTTTGGCGAAAAAGTAAAAAGATTAGACCCATAAAATAGAGATTAAATGTTAGGCTTACTTTAGTTAATGACACTGTTGAAGGCTAACCAAAAGTCTCTAGAACCTAACATCTGAGATAAGATACAAGATTTTGCAAACTGAGAATAACAGAGCTTAACATCAGATAGGACTTTTTTACATTAGCTTCTTGCAATGATTGTTCTAATGTCCTATTATTATTGCAAGAAGCTAATATAAAAAATAATTTATGTTAAATAAAGCAACTGCTCAAGTAGGTTAAATATATGGAGTAGAATTAGGCTTAACTTAAAATTGAAGAGATGTTAATAAAAACTTCCAAACTTTTATTCCAGAAAGAATAAAAGCCTCCACGATGTACTTTATGCATACATATTATGGATATAAACATATATGTTTGCTATTTATTTAGATGCTGGCATACAATATCCTTTTATTGTTATATAAACTTTAGTATTTATATGGTGTAGTATTTGCCGAAAGAGAAAATAACCAGATGGATGTGTGGTGTGACTCTAGCAAGACAAGAAAAAGAAGCATAATCTTAGAGTGATTAGAAAAAATGTTGCATTGAACAATGTTTGTTACTAAAGATTAAAGGAATTTAGTTATCAATATGTAGAGAGATAGCAGCTTCAGTAGAAAATGGTAGTGGTAGAAGTAAGAAAAATCAAATTGAGTGCCTTACATATTGTTTGAATGAGCATGTTTTGAAAAAAAAATGCTCTAGATTGTTTATTAGACTAACAGCATAAAAGAGGAAGGCTAAGGCCTGATGATGATGATGATGATGATGATGATGATGATGATGATGATGATGATGATGATGATGATGATGATGATGATGATGATCATGCTGCTCATAATGATGTTTATATATGCATATATCTACAAAATATAACATAAATTTTGAATAAAAAATATATACTTTAGGATATGTTTATGCAGCCTCGGTCGACAAACCCGGCCTGGCCCTGGTTATACTTTATCAAACCAGGCCCTGGCCCCAGTCAAATATAAACCCAGGTCACTTACTACTTTGATTTTTCATAATTTTTGTTTTTTTAGTAAAAAATTTAAAATAAATTTGACCATTTTTTTTTTCTGTTTAAGAAAAGACCACTTTCCTATTCTTTGAAACAATTCATAAACTATTCAGGACAATATCTTTAAAAAAATATATATCAAGCTACATCAGCATTTTTATAATTAAATTTGCCCTTGTAAAATTGCAACGAAGGTCAAAATTACAGGTGTAATCTTTATTTTCAAATATCTTAAGTTGTTTTATTAGATTTCTTGCCTCAAAATATGTAAGTGTACACATTTTCAGCTTTCCATTGCACACAGAACAGAAACAATGACCAAAACAATTTTTTAAAATAGGGTTTTTTTGTTGGTTTAAGGCAAAGTTTGAATTGTCATATCTTTGAAACCGTTCGGAATTAGGTGATAAAATTTTGGGAATGTTCATAACTTATTAAAATCTTTGAGTGGAGCAAAAATCAGCAAAATCTGAGACTTAGCGTTGCAAGCCCTGGGTGTTTTCACATGGAATTGCTCAATGCTTACTTAGTAAGCAAGAAGTTACACATTCAATCCCCATCACATCCCTGGTAGTACCGTGCTTTTTTTTTTGCAGTTGCTTTGTTTGTTGAGAGAATGTTGTAATCACAATTTATAAAAAATCTCTTTAACTATGGTGTCCCCCTTGGCTTTGGGGAGTTAGGAAGATAAATGAAATTAAAAAAAAAGGGTATGAGTATGCACATAGATATTTTTTCAAAAGAAAAGGATTCTTTTAATCAATTTTATCAATCAAATATATATCATTGCAATCTAGATGTTTCATCTGAAACAGTTCTAAATCAGTTTTGGCAAGATGAGCAGAAATAGTAAACATTTTTGCAAAATATGACTAATTGCTACAATAAAATTCTTTTTTTCTGCAAAAAAAAAAAAAAAAAAGCAATACAAATGAACTCTACAATACAATTGTAATAAGCTTTTGCTATGGAAAAAACCAAATCAATAGATATATTAAGCTGCATGTTTCAATCAAAAGTACTGAAGTAAACTTCAGTAAAAATTGAAAAGATGAAAGCAACTTTACAGAAGTAGAAAATAATTAATTATTATTAAATAATTATTATGGAATGCTGACAAATCAGCATAAAACCTCCTTTTTTAGATTAAGTAAGAAGGTAACTTAAAGTATTTATTAAAATTTTAAAACTGAATCTGTTAAAATAACAGCATATAATCTTAAATTTATAAAATTCCAGAAAGAACATTGCCAACAAAATACATATTTTATTTTTCCTTTAGGCAAAAAATTTATTTATGAATAAATGGAACAAATACAGGAAAGATTATTTTGCTTATCATTTTTTTATGTTTTTGACAGTAGTTTTGAAGTATTCTTTATTATGAACTTTTTCTGTAAACATTTCTGTAAGAAACTCTAATTCATGATTTATATGTTCCTCGCTGCATAATGTAAAAGATCTTTGGATAAAACCATTGAATACATTTTGCAAAAATGCAACCTTAATTACACATTTGTTATAGCATTCATGTGATTGATATTAATGAGATATGCTCCAGATTTACTATTTGTTACTGAGAGATTAAGAAAGTTTATTGAGTGTAAATCATTTTCTTTTTAAATTACTATTGTCATTGTTAATTGTTATTGTGTAAATCATTTCTTTTTCAATTATTTTTTTGATTGTTTAACGACTTAAAAAAATGTTCTGATTTTGCCTCATTATTAAAATGGGAAAAAAGTTCATGTCAAGTCTTGCTTTACTCCATGATTTTCACCTTCTTGTGCAGCTGCTATATCTAAACATAATCATTTTTTTCATCTTTTTATTTCAAATCACCTCCCTAAGACTATAAAGGTCACTACAGTAAAGGAGGCTACTTTAATTGTGGTTAAAACACTCTCCTAACTCTAATACTCTGAAACATAAAACTTGAAAAGCAAGGCAACTGTGTGAAGAAAAAAGTTTAGGGTAGTACTACCAGGAAAATGGTAGGAATATTATGGCCATACTCTTAATGCCATTCCAGTTAAACAGGTTAACTCATTGTTAAGCTTTCAAATCACTCCAGCTTATTTGGTTATTAGTTACTTTATGTGTTTTGATGACACCATATAAGCATGGAGGAGTGGCGTAAATTAATCTTAGCAGGCAATCTGTTAGCAAAAAATCTAGCACAAAATAATGTAAGTCAAAGAAAATTTAACTATGATTTAACTGTTTTAATAAAATAAGAAATGAGAAAAGGGAATATTTAGAAATACAATATTACCAGTGTACTTTAAATGAGGTTGGTTTAAATGAAGATAACGGTGATTCCGTCACACTGTATATTTGGAAACTATTACAGAAGAACACCTCGCATCGAAATTTTATTATTTGTTTGTTTTTTTGACATTTTTTTGTATTACTTAAGTAACAAGTGTTACTTAAGTAATACAAAAAAATGTCAAAAAAACAAACAAATAATTTTTTTGTATTACTTAAGTAACCCTGCTTCAGCAAATAAAAGAAATATTGTATTATACAAAAAGGAATTTTTAATAAGGATAAAGTTAATCAACCATAAAAAGATTACATAACTTACCTAAAATACCAACTAATGAATTGATAAACTGGATGATATCATAAATAGTTGTCTTAGATATCTTTAAATGTGAAACAACTTTCAGAACAACCATCACATTAATAATTGTAATAAAATATAATTGGCAAGTAATGTTTTAACCATACTCTGAAACAATATTAATTGAAGTACACATAAAACTATGCATATTAGGCATGCAAGACTTTCCTTAGTTGGTTTATAATTATCTAACAATACAGGCAATTACTTTTTCCATGATTGTATTTTGCCAGCTCGCATAATTTGCAATTATAAGTAATTTTTTATTATAGCTTTAAGTAGTTAGACATAAATGTATGTATAAAATTACACATGGCAAACCAAAAGTTGTTTATTAGAGTAGCTTTATATGCAAGCTTTTTGCTTTTGCATGAATTAGATTTAAATAATTGTTTTTCCTACCACAGACAACATTAAAACACAATAAATTCATTAAATGTTAAAAATTGTATTCCAAAATTATATAAACAAAAGCATAAATATGTTTAATATGTTTGTTGAATATGAATTGTAAATAAAAAAAAATGTAAAAACAAAAAAAGGTATTTAACAAAACTAATTAATAAAACAATTACTAAAAGATAAAAATTTGCCTAAGAATTGATACTTTTATAAGACCGTCATTTCAGTTGTTTAAAAAACTACTAGAAAAAAAAAAGGAAAATAAATATAATATATATATATGAAAAAAAAAAGTTAATAAAGATAATAATTTCTCTAAATATATGCTAATATAAGTTATCAAAATTATTCAAAAATTATTTGATAATTACTTGAAAATGGCTTTTGTGAAAATAACAGATGATCCCATGTACTTATTGACTTTGTTAAAGTTAGTGCTGATAATCTTGGTGTAGTAGATGCTATAAATAAATAAAAACATGTGCAGACAGTTATAGTTAAAAATTTGAAAGAATAATATAATATTTTGTAAAATAGCATATTAGTTTTATACTGTATGAACGAATTATTGTCTAATTTATGTTGTTTCAAACAATTTTTTTAGTTTCACAAAAATTAGTCAACTAATTTTTAGTTTTAATTAAAAATAGTTATTCAAAATGAGACTTAATGTAAAAAAAAACAACTGAATAACCTAAAACATAAAAATTTTATGTATGAGAACTTTACAAAATATCGAAGTAGTTAACTATAACAGTTGAATATTATCTTGTTGTTTTAAACATAAAAACTAACTATGATTCATAGGGGCTAGTCAAACCAAATGGATAACAAATAAATATAGATTTGTTTATTAGTTATTTTCAAAAAAATATTACCTATATCTAATATTATAAATATATATTATATTATAAACATATTTTTCCAGTTCGGACACAGCTACACCTGTTTACCCTGTGACTGTTCCAATACCCTTTCTTTTAGGATTGATAGTTTGATCAGTATTCGGTTTTTTTAATAAGTTGGCGAACCACAGAAATCAAGGAATAGTTAGGAAATATAACTTTTAATAAACATATGTTCTTACTGCACAAGATTGCAAATTTTTGCAGTCTTTTACAACAGACCATCATCTATCTTTTTAAAATACATTTCTATTAGCTAACTTGTTTAAAAAAAAGATTTTTTGCAAAAATATACTTTCTAATTAGTATAAATAAAATCACACCTTTCTATTGACACCTAATCAACACTAATTCAAAAGAAACTCTAACTCTTGAAATAATTACAATGACACAATTTATGAATTTCAGAAAATTTTTCTTGGACATAATTTATAACAACAATTTTTTTAAATAATTTCATAAAAATATTTTAGAACAACTAATTCTCTTTTTTACAGCAGAAAACCATTACTTTAGAACTGTCTATTAAAAGACATTCTTTATCAGCCACAGAAAGAATCAGCCAAATGTAATATTTGGCGTTAGATTATTTATAAAAGATTGGTGTTACATTATTTATAAAAAAAGTAATTATAAGATATAGCAAAAGTAACAGAAAAAAGTAGCAACATAGATTATTTCTTATTTAATTTTTTTGTTCAAGTTTTATATTTTACATTTTTATGTTACTCTAATCATATTCATTAAGAGTGATTCTTGTGTAATTTTTTTTTGACAAAAACAATTAGGTTTGTAAATGAAACTTACTTTTTATGTGGTTAATTTGTTTAAATCTATCTTTTAACAACTATTTTTTTTATTAGGAAAAAAAAATTAAAAATGGCCGGAATAAAAAATTTTTTTGACACATTGTTGTTTTAAATAGAATTTGATATTTTATTGTTCTTTTTTTTAACGAAGTTTTAATAGATATTGTTTATAGTTATCTAAGATTGATTTAAGCTGAAGTAATGTATTTGAATCAATTTAGTGTGAGATTTTTACTGCCACCTTTTTTTTTTTTTCCTCCATTATTAAAATCTAATATTAAATTATTACCTCCCAGATGAAATCTAATTGTAAATTTTATCATTATAGTTTAATATGATTATACAATCTAATTTGATATGATTATAAAATTTTATCATAATTTTATCATTATTTTACTATCCATAAGAACAGTTTAAATGAAACAGCTGTTGTCAAGATATATGTGTTTGCAACACTTGAACATTATGTTTTATAAATAATATAACTGTTAAGAAACTTGAAAGATTAAAGATCAACTAATAAAGAAGTAAGAAGAGGTTAAAAAAAAAACTAAAACTTTATTTCAGCAATTCAGAAACTGAAAACACATTCAACTAGCTTTTTCTGAGTCTAAAAGTATAACTTGCGATCATTTATTATTTTAAAAGCTACTGCGTACTATGAAGGCAATCAGTTATTTGATGTTTTAAATAAAGTTGATGATGTGGGAAGCAAGTATGTTATTATTGATGATGTATTATATGATATTAAGTATAAATATAATAACAAAACAATCACTGTATTAGGGAAATCAAACTGTTCTATTCAAAAATACTGATGTAAACTTTTACCAAAAAATATCTGGTGAAAGAAAAGAAAAAAAATAACACACTACATTTTTGCCAAGTATAAATATTGATCTCAACCTTTTGAAACTATTAAATTAGAAAATCCTCAAGATTCTAAAAATCTTTTTCTTTAGATAAAGTAAAAAGGTTTTTATTGAAAAGATGACTTTACAGACTTATTCAAGTTCATCAATTGAATCTGTTAAAATTACAACTTCACCAATAAAAAATTATTTCTCTTAAATGTTTAAAAATCTAAAAAGAACCTTGCTAACAAAAAAATATTTTATTTTTTCAGTTATCATTAAAAAATAATGAATACTTCATAAATGTAAAAAATACAGAAAAGGTGTAACCGGAGGAAGTGATTACTCTACTAAATAAATATCTTGCAGATGAGTCAGGTTAACAAGCAAAACTCTGTTCTCTGGCTGGAAAAAATAATTACAAGCTACTAAGTTGACTGCACACCTATAAAGAGGACAAAAACAATAAATTTTAAAATAAAGAAGCGAAAAGGAGCACAAAACTGAACTGTTATTATGTGGGTGAAATATGGATGGTAAATGTTCACAAAGATCAATGGTGTCAAGTTTACTTTCATCTATGATGGCTATATAGAATGTTGTTGTGTCATTGATACTTCTCTTCTTGAAACTTGACCTTTTGTGTTGCATCTTATTGTTGCTCCTATGTCATCACATGGTCGATTCCCATTAGAGGTAGCAAAGTAATTCCAGAAAATTTTAACAAAAAAATCAAACAGAAATTTTTTAAACCTTGGAATTGAAGCAATTATGTAACAATTTGTAAATTGTTTTCTGAGACCATTAGACAAAACTTGTCAATAATAAGGTTATTACAATAATAAGGTTATTATAATAATAAGGTTATTATAATAATAAGGTTATTATAATAATAAGGTTATTATAATATAAAACATAAATAAATACATCTAGAGATGTATACTACAGCAATTCACAACTTAAACTTAAAAGAAAAAATTTTTCAAGTGAACTGGTAATTTAGTTTTGCACAACCAATAGAAATCTAACTGTTTCAATGACAGAAAAAAGTAAAAAAAAAGACCTTTAATTGTTGAGTAATTTAGCTTTAAGCTTTAAGTACACCAACTTTATCTGTGGCAAGAAAATAAGGTGGTACAGGTAACTTTTATGAACCTATGGAAAATAGGCTGTGCCTTAAAAATGGTGAAGTTGAACTTAAAAAAAAAAAGATAAAGATTTAAGAGAATTATATTAACAATATAAAATATAACTTGCAATTATAAAAAAAACCTTTTTCTAAAAAAAAGACATCCTAGCTAAAATGTTTTAATGTTTGGCATACTTTAAAGATTTCGTATTTGATTTATTAGTGTTCAAGCGTATGGTATTATTTGTAGTCATTATTATATTTTCCTATCTTTCAAAAAAGTACAGAAATGTAATAACAAATATAGTCATTGAGCATTTTTTGCATGCATCAAAAGTTTAGTCTTCACCTAAATGCTATTTTAATGTCATCTCCAATTTCTCCACTTTTTTCTCACATAAAACTCGAATTGGCTGACCTTACATTCAATATCAAACATTCCTCACAAACTACTTAAATGGTGATCAACTGGTGCAAGGACCAACTTCGGTTGCTATAAGATATATGCTAATGACCAATAATTTATTTCTTGAGGCTGACAACAAACTACCAGACTATTCTAATTCTGTACAACAAACATAGATTTAGAATAGTATTTTTTATTTGAAATATGGTATTAAGTGGTTTTGGAGCAGATTAACTGAATGCATTTTAAGTCTTAACATGTTTTATACAGTTTACAAAATACAACAAAACTTTTAAAGATAATACAAAATATTGAGTTTGAATAACTTTTTTATAAATGCGCTGCAGCTAGGTCTAAAAAAAATTGTGTTTAGTTTCTGAGTAGTTAACAAATCAACCATAGTAGTTGCTAAGTAGTCAATTCAACATAAAACTGGTGGAATATGCTAAAATTTTAACAAATAACACATTATGATGACTTTAAGTGATATGTTTACATATAGTTATTTGTTAACAAATATATAAGTATGAGCAAACCATAAATAGGTAGATTGCCCATCAATTTCATTGAAAAAAAGTTCATATTTATCATAACAATATATATTTAATGTGTTACAAAAATGATTTAATAAGTTTTTGAGGCTTTGCAGTAAAGAACCCAGAGTTCATTTGGGGATACCGCTTTTTTTTCTGCAATGTTGGGGGGTGGTGTAGGGGTTAGGTTTTGAGAACCCTCTTTTCCTAGTTAAAACCAGTGCCTAACAATGATTTTTAATCATCATTTGTTCAATCATCATTTTGATTATTTGTGTTTATTGTGTTTAGCTTTATCCTAAGATAGAAGTTGATTTTAAGGCAATTTTTTGAATACATGAACTTACTGGTGGACAATGTTACTTTAGTTAGGATAAGAAAACTATATTATTTAAGATTTTAATAAACGTTTTTTTTGCAATTATCACGCTATATTAGTAAACAATTATTGAAAATTATTTAAAATATTTTAAACATTTATTAACTATATTTTAGTAAATTTATATTTAGTAGTTATTAATGTTTTAAATAATTAGTAATTAAATGTTTAAATACTTCAAACAATTTTTAATCAATATTCACATTACATAATATATTTACATATATTAAATTTATTACTTTTATCATTTTTACTATTTTAAATGCCAAAAAGAATATGGAAAAGAAACAAAACTTTCTGAAAAAGTTTACATTTCGTTTTTTCATTTTCCTCACATTAACTAAAATAGCAAGCTAAAGATCAAAACTTCATTCATAAATAGAACTCTAAATATAATCTTAATACAAATTGCTGCCGATTAATGAAAATTAATAAACATATAAAGGAAAAAATTTATAGTATTTCAAGTTCATTCATTCAAAAATTAAACTTGCACAAAAGTTCGGAAGAATAAAATTTTTTACTCTTGTTCATTTATTACAACATAAGCAGTTCACTCTTAATTGCCAAAAACAAAAAGTTAACTTTACTTTGAATGGATATTTAAAAAATCATTCGAAAAAGCAAATTTTTTATACATTCCATTGTTAAAACTAATTATTATAAAATTTTGCAACAAGTTATTAAAATTAAGTTTCATAACGACATTCATTTTTTAAAAACTAATGTTCAGTTTTTAACCGAAGGTCAGTTACGTCACATAATTACATAAAAACGCAATTTCTTTTTAATCAATTTTATTGATCTGAAGAACAAATGAGGTAGCTAAAACAAACTAAAATATTATTTATATACTACTGCATTTCATAATGAAATTTTTTTTCTATTTTTGATAAAAAAGCAAAAGAAAAATAAAAAAAGAAAAATAACGTTTGGGCGCTTATTTTTGGGTGCCCATTCTGCTCTTTTGGTAGTAAAACAGGTCTAATTGTCTCTGTTTTGTATAAACCTTAATAAAGATACTGAGGCAATCATTTTTTTTTTTTGAGAAAGACATGACTATGATGACTACATCATAGCCATGTTCCTTACAAATATATAAGTCATCAACAACAAGATCTTTAAACTCTCAAAACACATTCAAACTATTTTATTTATAATTGTATAAATAAAATAAATTTGGTAAACCAAACAAGTTGCTCATTAGAATAGCTTTTTATGAAAGCTTTTTGTTTTTAAACAAATTAGTTTTAAATTGTTTTCTTATAACCAGCAACACATTAAAACACAATGAATTCATTAATATATATTCCAAAATTATATAAACAAAAACATGAATATGTTTGCAAATATAATTATGTAAAGTAATGTATAAAACTAATAAGTAAAATCATTAATAAAATATAAAAATGTGCCTAAGAATTGATTCTTTTAAAAGCCATCATTTCAGTTGTTTAAAAAGCTACTAGAAGAAAATAAAAAAATCATAATTTATCAAAATATATGCCAAAGTAATTTATGTTCAAATTATTCAAAAAGTATTGGAAAATTACTTGAAAACAAGTTCTGTGTAGATAACAGATGAGCTATTGTAGTAATTGCCTTTGTTAAATTTAGTGTTGATAATCTTAGTGTTGTAGAAGCTATAAATAAATTAAAGCATGTAAACATTTTGAGAGAATACTATAATATAAAGTAGTAGTATTTTTGTATTGTACACACAAATAAACAAATAAATTCCTTAATTATGTTGTTTTATTACAAACTTTTAGGTTTCACAAAAATTATTAAACTAACTTTTCAGTATATTAAAAGTTGTGAACTTATTTTACAATGTAATTAAAAATAGTAGGCTAAAATGATGACTTAATGATAAGAAAAACCGAATAACGGGTAACAAAAAAATTTCACATAAGAGAGCTGTATAAAATATTACATTGATTAACGATGGAAAGTTGAATATTATTTCTTTGTTTTAAACACAGTCATAATTATGATTCTTAGAATAAGAATAAATTAAAAACAGATTCTTTTAAAAAACCATCATTTCAATTGCTTGAAAAGCTACTAGAAAAACATGGAAATAGTTAATAAAGATTATTATGTATCAAAATACATGCCAAATTGCATTAAAATTATTCAAAAATAAGAATTACTTGAAAACAGTTTCTGCGTAGTAAACGGATGAGTTATTGTAGTTATTGACTTTGTTAAAGTTAGTGTTGATAATCTTGGTGTTGTAGATACTATAAATAAACAAAAGTATTTTTAGACAAATATAGTTAAAATTTTGAGCAAAAACTATAATATTTTGTAATTGAGATTTAATGATAATAAAAACTGCATAATGTATAACATTAAAAAATTTCATTTGCTGATCTTGAGCTGATATCTGATTTCTCATTTGCTGAGACCACCTTTGCGCATGCCAGCAACTTGCTACTTTTTTTCAATTGATATGCTCTTTAAGTCCATATTTATTTTGTAGCAATTTTGAAAATTTAACTGAGTTTAAAATGACACTTTTTGTTGCTTCAATTTACAGTTTAGTTGCTTACATTTTTTATTGGCTATTATTAATTAGCAAAAATTAATTTTGCTAATTAAGCCAATAATACACTTTCACTTATTTTTCAATATATTCATTTAACTTCAAATTAATTCATGGAAAAAAAAAAACTAACAGGTTAACAAATATTTGACATTTATTTTATGAATTTATTTTATTATGAATTTATTTTATTAAGTCTTACCTTTTTTAAAAAAATAAAAAAGTAGTTCAAAATTAAAATCAATTTTTGATTAAAACTGATTTGAAATTGACAATAAAAAAAATTCCAGTATGTGTGCTAATACTTTCTAGAAGCACAGTGCATGACAATTGATTTTCTAAATACCAGACTAAAAAGTGTCTTAAAGCCACTTTGTTGTCATGGACACAAATAATCTGCAAAGTTAATCGTCCTAAAATGTCAAAAAGCTAAGAAAATAAAGCAATTATGTTTGCTGAACGCAACCCAAATATGAGCATAGCTGAAATTGCTTTAGACCTGAATACAACAATAGATGCACATTGAGTTAGCTGGGCAACGATTAGCAAGCTGATGAAGAAAAACCAACTCAATTAGCACCTTGCAACAAAGAAGCCACTACTTCAGATATAGTCAGAGATGTCTTAGATACTGTGTTAGCTTACTTGTAAGTTATTATATGTTTAGATGTGTTCTAACCAAACCTCTGGCTCAGTTTTCACTCACTTGTAAGTTACTATAAGTATGCTTGTGTTCTGTCTGAATAGTTGATGCAAAGTTTGCTCACCTGCAAAATACTATACGCACCCCTTCTTCATCTAATAGGCTGCACTGATATAAAACTGTGTATCATTGTTTCCTGTTTAGGATGAAAAATGCTTGAGGGTAAAGCTCTGAAACTCAGTTAAAATTTTTAAAGCTGGCTGATAGTAAAATTTCCTAAACTCTGCGGTAGGTCTCAGAGAGGCTGATTATATCAACAGTTTTAAAATACCAGAGTATTAACAGCGCCATGTTGCGCATGGATGGTGTCCCTGTTAGGGCAAAATAAAAACTTTAACTAGCAGTTAATTAGCAGGATAAAAGCAACTGCAGAGCTCATTGTTTAGAATACCATGCTTTACCTATAAATAAGTTAAATGTCCTGCTTTATCTATAAAAAAGTTTAATGTCCTGCGTCCTTATAAAACACACTTTTTTAGAAAAAGGCTAGGAGAAACTAACTCCGACTTAAAACATACCCTACCTTGGGGCTCAAACTCTGCAGCTCTCAGAGAAGCTGATTACATCAACAGCAGTAGAATATCAGAGAACTTAGAACGCCGTGTTTTGCATGGATGGTGTTCCTGTTCATACTTTTGGTGTGCGTTGTTGAGGCCTCATTCAGAGCCCTTTGTTACAGTTTAGGGTTTATTAATAGAAATACGGCAATCGCTTGGACTATAAAATAGTGAACTGAGTACAATCTGAGCTTTGAGTCAAGTTCTTTAACAAATTAAAAAATGACTAAATTACTAAAAACTAAAAAACACAAATAATCATCACTAAGTTCTCTAAATCTATCATTTACAAATATTTGTGGTCCTCGAAGTAACTTTTCCTCTGTTGAGTCTTACCTCTTACAAAATTCACCAGACATACTTGCTCTTTGTGAGACTAATTAAAGTTTATCTGTGTTAACTTTTGATTGTAATGTTGATGGTTATCTTTCTTTAATTTGTAAAGACTTACATAGTAACATGCTTGGTCTAAACATTTACATTCGTAAGAATGTCAGAAAACTAGGTTTGAATCCACTGACTATTTTTTTATGTGCTTTCGTTTAACGCCACATCACTCTATTGCCATTCTCTTTGTTCTATATCACTCTCCTTCATCTTCATTTAAGACAGCACTCATTTTGATGTTATTTCTGATCAAATTGACCAAGCCCTTTCTCTTTATCCTTCAGCCAATGTTCTTGTTGTTGGTTACTTTAATGCTCATCGCACTGAATAGCTTAGCTCTTAGTGTCAGTCACTCTGCAGGCATTAAGCCCTACATTTTTTGCTTTTCTCAATCTTTAACACAAATAGTCAACTTTCCAACTCACTATCCAGACAATCTGAATCATTTACCTTCATACTCTGAAAATTAGGTTTAACTCCATAAAAATTGATAACAAAGATAGACACATAAATTTGATTAAAATATTTAATCTTAGATTATTTTCAACAAATTTATCTAATATTTCTGAGTAAAATTGAATGGTAGTCCTAAAACAAACACAAGAAAAAAACTTCCACACCAATTAAAGTTCAACAATTAACCTCAACATCAAACAAATTCTTTATGCACATATGGCCCTAGGTACAAGCAAACTATATGGCCCTAAAAATAAGAAATAATAGCTTCATGAAAGATGTCATCTATTAATGAACCCCAATTGAGAGGAAACTTATTGAACATCACATTTATTATTTAAGTAACAAAAAAATAATACACAAGAGCTTATAGAAAAGAATTCCTCTAGGATTGATAAAAAAAAAAATATAAACCAATAAAAAAAAGATACCAGCAGCAAAAATTTACTTTAGACCATTAAAAAACATTTTCTAATTACAACTTCATCATCAAAAAACCAACTAAATCAGGATCTATTTTTTGATGATCAAGAAAAGATTTGATAATAAAACTTTTTATAAATAAGAGTAATACAATAATATTTAAATTTTTTGGGGTTAATTTTAACATTTTTGCTTCATATCTATAGGGTTTGGTTTACATGTCATTAAAATTGAAAAAAATTTCAAGTTTACCTATTAAATTACTACCAATACGTAACTTTCGGATAGATACATCATGGCAAAAACCAATCTGCACACTAATGTTAAAGTTTACTGTTTTTTGTGTAAATTTTGTATAATTCTTCATACTTTGGTTTACTGCGATTGTGAAATCATAGTGCTTAGAGACAAAATATTGAGAAATATTAATCGAGTGATAACATCCTTTTAATAACTTAGTAATTATCCAACTGTTATTTAAATATGTAATATTCAATCTGTGGTACATAGAAGTTGAATCAGCTAATAGTTTTATAGTAAAAATACTGAATTTTGAATTGGTTAATAACAGGATATCTCCAGCTGAATCATTGAATTTTATATCAAAAAATATCTCAAATTCATCATAAAAAGCTGCCAGGTTTTTCCTTATCTTGCTAAACTCCATTACTAAAAAAAGTTAAAATAATATATATATATATATATATATATATATATATATATATATATATATATATATATATATATAAATATATATACATATATATTTATATATATATATGTGTGTGTGTATATATATATATATATATATATATATATATATATATATATATATATATATATATATATATATATATATATATATATATATATATATATATATATATATATATATATATATATATATATATATATATATATATATAAAGTACTGGTCAAAATTATAGCACAAATGTAAAATAAAAATTGAATATAAAAAATTAATGGAGGGTTGAATGAAAAGTTAGCACTATTTTTTTTTTATCTGAAGAATAATATTTTACTTTTTACAAAAATGAATGAAAATTGAAAATACATTTAAAGTTAATAAATTTTAAAGTTCACTTAGGAATAATACAGAAAAATAAGCTGGGCAAAATTATAGCACATTTTAGATAAAAAACATTAGAATTTGATTTAACATGAAGAAATGTTGGATCCTTTAGCTCTAAAAATTTGAGAAATACAATCTGGAACAGAATTTACCAATTTAATGCAAAGATCAATTGAAGTCTTGTCCCAAATGTCTTGAATTGCATCCTTTAAGTCATTTTTTGTTGCTTATGTTGTAATTTTCAAGTTAATAATTGACCAAAGATTTTTAATATTTGGTCAATTAGACAAATATTCTTCATTGTAAACCATTCCAGAGTTTTTTTAGCTTTGTGACACAGTGCGTTGTCTTGCATAGAATAACAATCTTCAGCTTCAGAATCAAAAAGAGTGTCCATATAGTCAGGTAATTCAGCTATAACTTCTAAATAACAAGAAGCATTCAAACAACCTGTGTAAAACTTCAATAAACTTATTCCATTTGCAGAAAAACATCCCCATACAAAAATAGTTCCACCACCTTGTGCATTTGTTGTAAAATTAAATGGTAAATCTTTTTCATAAGGAAGAAGTACAAACTTACAGCTCTTTCTATTTATGACTTTAAAATGTGATTTGTTACTAAATCATAGATGAGTATTTGACTTTTTGAAAATCCCAGAAATTTTTTTCTATGAAAATTCCAGAAAATCCCGGAAAATTATTTAATTAAAAATTGATCGTTTTACGGGGTTATTCATTTTTACATGTGCGTTTATATTCGAGTCAACCACCCATAAAATCTCTAATATAATTTAATATAAACAATAAATAGGCTTTTCAATTTTTATATAGATATATTAATAATAATTATAAATAATTAAATTTAAATCTATATAAATGAATAATTAAATGCGGTAGTGGTGTAGTGGTAGAGCGCTCGCTTCATAAACGAGTGGTTCCGAGTTCGATCCCCACCACGTCCCTGGTAGTACCTTGTTCGTCAAGGTTCGTGTTTCGGAGTTATAGAGTTGAGAGAGGGTTATAGCCACAAAATAAGTAGCCTCCTCGTCTGTAGTGGCCTTCTCGGCCTTGAGGAGGTGAAGTAAAATTAAAAAAAAAAAAAAAAAATTAGATAAATAATAGTTTAATCAATTAAGAAATTTAATGTAATAAAATTAAACAAAGACATGATACTAAATTAAATAAACCATCATCAAATGTAAAAAGTCTTCGTTTTAAGTATTTTAACCTCATTTACCAGGAAATAATAAAAATTTATTTTGAAAAAAGTAAATTGTTTTTTCAAAACAAAATGCTCAAATGATTTTTTTTTTTGTTCTTATTGCTTTTTTAAAACGCATATAAGAATGAAACGCATATAAAATTGAAAAGACGTGCATATAGGAATGAATAACCCTGTAACAGACAACAAAAACTTTCGTAAACTGTTAAAACAGAATTTAGAATATTTAACTTTTTACAAAAAGGAATTTCTAATATTCGAAAAAGTTAATTTGAATGAATTAAAAAGAATAAAAAAAAAAGAATGGTTGCGAAAATTGATCTCGTAAAAATTTTAATTATAGAAAACTTTTGTTTAAATGCAAAAGTTGTCGTATTTAAAACTTTATCTAAAAATATATAAAATTTTTTTTAAATTAATAACAAAAAACATCCAGAAATTTCTGGAAAATTAAAAGTGAATTTCCGGAATTCCGGGAATTTCCGGAAAAAACTCATCTATGCTAAATATTACATGATGCCATTAACTTCGAGTCCAATCAACACAGTTTTTACACCAAGTGAGTCTCTAAGCCTTATTTCGATAACAATGTCGCTTCTGTGTGTAACTTCTCAACCCTTTTTCTAACAAGCGATGACAAACTGTTCTTGCACTTATGGCTTTTTCTTTTACAGCATTCAACCCCATAGTAATTTTTTTACTTGAATCAGTACAATTTTTTTTAGCAAGTGTATATAGCGGTCTTCTGTAAAATTAGTGCATCTACGATGTCCTTGACCTGGTTGATTTTTCATTGGTAAATTCAATTTAATTTTATCAGCAGTACTGTGGACAAATTTTCTGGAAGTTTTAGCACATTTAGCAAAACCAGCAATGTTAAATTGCTGTTGAAGTAAGTTTTTTTTTTAAGTAAGTCATCACCGCTCACTGCTTTGTGATCCATTGCATAAATTATGTTTTAATTATAAAATTACTGAAAAAACTTTGAAAAATTTTAAGACTTGCTAATTTAAATAATTAACTATGATGCTAGTATTTAAATAAAATAAAATACACAACAACGCATCAATGCATTTAATCATACACACTGTCAAAATTAAGTATGAATGTGAGTGTGCTATAAACTTGACCAACATTTTTTGTGTATGTTTGTAAATTCGTTAACTGCTAAGATAAATAATGAACAAAATTTTTAATTTTATGTGTACATTTCAAATGACTAACGCATTTTAAAAATACAGTACCTCTCAACAATATGATTAATGCATACAAAAATTTTACATGACAATCTTATTTTAAGAGGTTGTGCTGTAATTTGACCAGTACTTTATAGTACTTTATTCTTATAATTTATGGCTAAGAAAACGTGTTTGTGGTAAAAAAAAAAATGGCTCTTCGCTTGTTTGCGGTATTAAAGCTGACAAAATTAAGCTTAGATTATGTCAAAACAAAAAATTCATACTTGTTGTATTAAAAATACAGGTTTCTTGATCTAAGCATTGAGTTCCAAAAATAATACCATTAACATCAATCTTGTTTAAAAAAACCTGAAAAATATTTTTATCAATTCATTTAAAAGTTTATTCTATTTTAACAGTAATTATTACAGTATTTTATAAGCATATACTACTATAAAAAAAATGTACATGAACTTAAAACAAAATCTTATGTTTAAATGTTTATCTTTTAAACTGGCTGTAACTTATGTGGTACAGGCTCAGTTGAGATGCTATCATTATATAAAAGTGATTTAAACAATTTATAATTAAAAAATTATTAATTAAATCATTTTTATTGACAATTTTAAAGATTGCTTGATTTAAACAATATTGTTTTACATTTTTAAAATAAAAACTCAGTTTTGATAATAGAAGGTCAATTTTTAAAAAAATGATTTAAATAAAATCAAATTATATAATCATAACTATATCAATTTGGAACATTTTGTATTTATTTAAATGTTTATTTGTGCAGTATTGAATCTAATAAATCCAGTGATTTCAATGTCTTCTGGTTAAATAATTTGAATAGAAAAACCAAATTGTTTGCTTTATTAATTTCTAGTCAAGTTTTAATGTTTGAATGTACAAGACCAAATGTTTGAATGTACAAGAACAAATGTTTGAATGTACAAGACCAAAAGATCGAAATACTCTTTAAACTCTTGCAGACAAAGCAACGGCAGTTAATAACTACCAGTTACCTCCGGTAATTCCTGCTTCACACAATCATTATTGTGTGAGATTTCCACCTAATATACAGTTTTATATTTTAAACGATCTGATCTAAGATTATAAACTTATAAAATAGAAATGTTCCTGCATTTAAAATTAACTTTAGGGTGGAAAAAAAATGAAGTCTATGGAGCTGCAAAATCCAATTCATTAACTATTTCTTTATCAGCAAAATCTTTATATCTAACATCTAACCCTAAACTGATCTTGAAATCTGATCTAAAATCTGATTCCTAACTTGATCCTAAAATCTGAACCTGATCCTAAATCTAACCCTAACCTGATCCTAAATAATTGAAATTGCTAAACTGTGGGCCAATAAAATTGAATTTAAAACAATAACTTTAGTCATTCAATTTAAATTGATTTAAATCTACATGATGATTTAAAATTACTTAAAATTTTATTTTCTGACTGAATCGACTTAAATCAAAATAATATTTATTATAAAATTAATGTAATCTTAATATTCAAATTTTAAAAGAAAAGCTCATTACTTCCATTAAGGGAATAAAAGATTTTGTCTGCATTTTTATGAGAAACAAAAATAACAATTTTCCTTGAAATGATGACAGCTGGACATAATTTTGGGTTTATTTTTGACAAAAAAAATTGAAGCAAACAAACTAAAAGAACAAAAAGTGATAAAGATTGGAACATTCTGGATTAACCAGAGTAAACATTACGCTTTCTCCCAAAAAAACATTCAAAAAATGGGATAACTCATGTTTATCAAGGTATTTAATTTAAAATTATAAATTTTTATTTAACAGCATTATAAAAAAAGTAAAAACTATAGAAATTTAGATAAATCATGGTAGTATAAATTTAAAAATTGTGTTAAGTAAAAAAAGTATTTTGGTAGAATATTAGAAAAATTATAGACAAATATTATATAAACTAAATATATTTATTCTTTCAGTTTGTTAAACTTTTTCAATTCTTAAACACTTTACTTTGGATTGTAAAGTAATACTACATGCATGCATTATCGAATATTGTTATTAGTACATTTGTAAATTCTTGTTTCTAATAATATAATTTATTTGTACTAAAATAATTTTTTTTTTTTTTTTCATTTTTGTTTAGCCAATTAAGTATGTATTTGAGAAGTGTTCTTTTGTTTAGCTAATTGAGTAGGCTATTTACAACTACAAGACATACCACTAAAAAGCATGTAATACAGAATATTTCTTTTCCTACTAGTTTATACAAATTTTTTTCTGCAAGATATGATTGAAGAAAAATAATTCTGAGCCAAAAAAAAGTCAAAGCATTTAGCAAGTTCATCTTTAATTTAAATAATTGCTAGCCCAGATTGAATGGTCTTAGATTTGGATACACTTTTTTTGTTATCTTGACTCATCAAAATTATCTAAACCAAATATAGATTCATTAGAAGTATCTAAACCAAATACAGATTCTAATTTTTTAATTAATTGTTTTTAGTCTACCAAAATCTTTCTGAGCAGTAACAGATGTAACAGGAAGATTTAGGTAAATTTAATAAAGTGTAAATAATTTATTGAGACCTAGTGCCATCTGTTTTTCAATCAAGAGTGGAAATGCACCTTTCATTTATACTTCATATGTCAATGATGAAGAGACTCGTGCATATTCATCTTTGAAAGTATTATACTCTATCACTACTTCTTTAATGTTTATGTTGTTAATGTATATTTCACAAAAACTTCTAAAGAATCTGTATTTGGTTTAGATAATCTTGATGAGTCAAGATACAAAAAAAGTGTATCCAAATGATTGCAGCAGGATTCAAATTAAGACTGTGTAGTTAGATCATCTATCCTTTAAATTTTTTTAAATTTCTCTGATTTCATTTTTGCAAACAATAATTAATTCTTAATAAAAGCAAAAGTTTTTTTCCATTTAGGCAAAACAGGAAATATAAATATTGCAGTATGGATAAAGGTAAAGCAACAAACACTAGCAATTTAAGCCTCTACTAGTAGAGATGTAGTAGAAAAGAAGAAGAAGTAGAGAAGCCTCTACTAGTAGAGATTAGCCTGCATTAGGGCTAGGCTCTAATTTGTTAGTACTCAAACGCTAGCCTAGGGTTTGAGTACTAACAGTTGACTGCTAGTGCTCAATTATTTGTTTTAAGCCTACCCAAAATTTCTACTTAACAACACGTTTGACTAATTAGGTATTACAGCTTTAAAAACAGTCCATTTTCTACCCCCATACTATACCCTATACTAAATCTCTGCCGGTAGTATGGAAGTGAATGAATTTAATTTTGTAATCGTATTGCTTGACTGTTGAACTAACGGTCAAGCAATACGGTTAGATTAACTAACAGTCAAGCAATACACTACGTCAAACTATATAGAGATAGAACAGTAAAAGCTATTTAGCCATCAAATTTATTTATCTAAAATTGAAATATGTAGAGCACATTTAAAAAATGAGTTGGTACTCAGTTGATACTGAGTACCAACTCAATTACCAACTAGAATTACCAACTAGAATAAAGTATCAACCAAAATTGATACTTTTTTCTAAGTATAATTTATCCGCTAACAAAACATACATACCAAGACTAAAACACCTACAAAGTTCATTTTGATTTAAATACATTATCAATGCCCTGGAATTCCTAGATATTTAATTTTTTTTCAAATTTTATTATTACTTTTTCAAAAGGACATTAAATTTGTATGAATAAGTGTATGTTCTTGCACTTAAATGATATTACAAGTTGTTACTACGGTAACCATTTTAAGCATGTTATTCTATTGCGGGAAAGTTGAATAAATTTACTTTTAAATAATAATTCAACTCTTTTTAAATTTAGAAATAAGACAGTTATTTTGGTGGACGGTTTTTTAGTCCGCCTCTTTTTTAAGATGGTTACAACATTTTTAAAACATTTTTAAATAATTGAAAAGTGATGCAAATAACCATAGTCTATAGAAGTTGTACCATAATAACTATAGAGTTATACCATGATAACAAATAACCATAGTCAATAAAAGTTATATATATGGAAGGTAACTTCTTTTAAATAACTTGCTGCGTAACTACGGTATGGCACGCAAGGCACGTGCGCAAAAAAGCGAAAAAAAAATTTTATTATTTTATTCTTAATTATATTTTTTTGAAATAGATATAAATATGCGGATTAATTACAAAATAAGAAAAAAAATATCCAAACACCCAAGGTAAGATTATTAATCGTATTAATCACTTTATTATAAGGTTATTGTCTTGAAATTTATAGATCATGTACTTCTTAAAAAATATAGAGTAGAACAGGGTAAAATGAATTAGCGGGTAGAATGAAATAGTTATGACAATGTTTATTCTTTTTCTCTTAATTAATAATTGGATAATCTTTTTGCATATGTTTTTAAATCACGTATTAGAGAATACTTTTCTGCGTAAGATGATATCAAATTTTATTTTTGATAAAAAAGAATTTGTTATAAATTTTTAAGTTTTTGTAAAAACTTAAAAATTTATAACAAATTTTTTTGTTATACATAGTTAATTTGTTATAAATATAGGAATTTATAAAAAATTAACTATTTATAAGGAAAAAAACGACACGGATTTCGAATTAGGGAGGGGGGGGGCATAATCTTAAATTTTTAAAAAGTCTTCTAAATCTACTATTTTCTTATTAAAAAAAAGGGCCATTCAAATAAAAGTGTGGGGGGGGGCGATTAATCTTATAATATAAGATAAAAGATAGGTGATCGACCAACACTTAATGGTTTCATTAATCATATATCAGTGCAATATATCTACACTGATCATTAAAATGGCCAGCTATACTTTTAAGTTATAATAGATACAGTTAAATACATCCACACCAAAAAAGCATTAAATCGATGTTATACTGCGTAATGTCATAATATTCCACTCATCCGTTTTTCAACGGGAACGGGATAGGAAAGGAAAAAATAATCACGTGAGCATGCATAATAAAAGTTTTTATTTGTCCGAAAGAAAACTGCGCATGCTCACGTGATTATTTTTCCGTTCCCTTTCCCTTTCCCGTAGAAAAACGGATGAGTGGAAACTCACCTTTATCAAATCACCGCGGACACCGGAGTTCGAAACCTCCCCCCCCTCCCCATACGCTTTCGTACGCTTTTAAAGACCTCCCCCTGTGAGCGTACGTACTTTATGGACGACCCCTTGATTTTAACACTTACACTATTTATTATTTATTTGTTTACTAATTTTTTTTTCAATACGCGTGCTGAATTATTTGATATATTTTTTGTCCGTTACAAATTATTTTATATAATTAGTTAGAGTTATGTAATAAAAGTATTGCAAAAGTATTGAACTCATTCATTAAAAATAATTAACAAAGAAAATTTTTAAAAACTGTTTTTTTCTTTAAGTGTTCACTAAGTCGCTTTTTATTTTTTCTTCATATAAAATTTTATTTTTTGTTGAAATTGAAAGGAATATTGACTGCCGAAGCATGAAAATGGTTTTAAATTGCATTTACATCGGGTTCCGATCTATCCTGAAAGTTTCAGAGCTTTAGCTAGTCGGGAGGTAGGTTAAATATAGCTTCAAAGATTCTAACCGGACGGACAAAAACACTCAAGAAATCAAGTTTAGAAAAACCATAGTCATAAGAATGAATAGTCTGGAAACACGGCCTGGGAACAATAGTTTTTGCGTTGATGTTAGATTCTTGTACCCAGCCTACTTTAAGGTGCAAAACCATAGTCTTAAAAAGTATACTTATGACTATGGAAAAACGTTGCAAAAATAACTATTAACAAACAATAAAGACGACTTACTAACTTTTTGTTCTGTTATTGTAACTTGAAGGACACCATCCATTATGAGAAACCGAAAGTGAGGAATTTTTTTTTAAGCACAAAAAGAAAACTTATGCGTATAAAATTGCGTTTATAATATTTAAAAAAACCAATTGGTATTTTAAAATACAAGATGCAAATACAGTTAGTTTTCACCCAACTTTAAGATTTTTTGTTGAGTTGTTATATGAAAACCCATCTTGCCTCATTCGCCATGTTGCCCCGCTTTCTCCTATCATACTGAGTAAATAAAAAAAAATAAATGTTGTGCTTTACTGTAACTATATTTCTCTTGTATATTTATACTTACAAATTTTGAGAATCACACGGTACTTTCAGATATTGAGGTATCTACCAAACAATTTAACATATGAATATACTGAGCTATATAAATTGCAAGATAGTTATCGATTGACTTACATCTATTTAAGTTGTAGGGCACCACTGAAATGTTTAAAAGTTAATGCCTTTTTTAGCTTTCAGTGATGCAACGTTGTCAATATTTTTTATCAAAGTTAATTTTGAAAGACATTTCATGTTCAATAGATAAAATGACCAAATTAGATAAGCATTCTTGTCTCATCGTTGATCGTTGATGGTTTTTAGATTTTTGCTTTGAGGAGCTTCTTTCACCACTAGCTAATGATACAGCTGTTGTTAAAAAAATATCCGATGGCCACAAAATAAATAGCTACACTTTCTTACAAGTGTCAATTGAGAATCCAAGACAATACTTCTAAAGCACTTCAATTCTTTACTATTGCGGATATATTTTAGTGTTAGTTTGGAACACTGTCATATGACATCGAAGACGATTCACTTCAATTAACATATCCGATGGATTCAGTTCATTGTAAGTTATGCACATATGCTGAATCTGGCGTTTGGTGAATTCGTTATTTTTTCCACTCAGCCATACTGCAGTTTTTAAGAAAGATAAATTTTTCTTATGTTCATGCAACTTAGATGAGCGGTTCACAATTTCTGCTTGCAGCCTATCCACTGCTTTGTACTATTCTAGTCTAACTTCATCAACGAAACTTAGCATCTTTGGTTTATTCATCCGGCGTTTTCTTTCGTTAGCAAATATTTTTTTTCTGTTATGATATATGTAAATTTGGCATATTTTCAAAATATAAATACTTGTCTCCTTTACAACTGCATCTCAATCTTTGGCTAGGAACATCGCTAACATTTCCTTTTTTAAGGCATATTAATCTAACGGAAGTCCTTTTATTTGTAGAAACTTTTGTGCATCAATAATTTCAATTCAAGAGTGTTTCAGAAGTAAAGAAAAGCTAAAAATGGATATGTCATTATACATAGTATGATATTTCCAGCATCACTTTCTGTTTCAATAGTCTCATGAGCTCTTCAAGAGCATCTACTCTATCATCTAGGTGTTCTTATAAGTTCTAATGCGTTCCAAATGAACGCGCTCTTACCCATCATAACGTTATGTATTTCGTTACCAACTCTCAACAGTTTTCTCTGTTTGGGAAAGCTTCTATTATTACTCAAATAAATAAATCATGTTGAAAATATTTAATAGTAAAACTTTATAGGTCTATTAATTCGCTTAGGATACGATTTTCTTTCAACTATTTTTCTTTCGTTGTCATTTATTGGAGTTTTACGTTGTATACTTTCAGCTTCAGGTTTTAAGAGTTTTTTTTATAAATTGTATTTTAATTATTTTAAAGTAGATCGCATGTGCGATTAACTCTTTTTCTGCTTGTGTAAAGTTAAGTGTTAAAAAAAATGTTGCTCATTTTAAGGGTTATTACTGAAAAACACTTTGAAAAATAGCAAGCATAAAAAATAAGTTTTCATATTTCTTCTACTTATTTTAATATATATTGTCAATAGACTAATATAAACAGTTAAGAAATTAAAATGTTTTAAAATTTTCTTGTGCCATCATATTTTATTATTATAGGATTTTTTACATTTTAACCAATATTTGAAAAATAAAATAATGCCATTTTTGTATTAAAATTGATATACAACTTTTTTTTTAACAGTTTAAAAAATTGATATATTTTTTTGGCAAAGTACCAAATAGAGAAATAACTTATCAACTTTTATCTGATAAAGAAAAAGTATCTACAACTTTGATAACATTAAAAACATTGATCCCTGTTAGATGGGTAGGACGTTATAATGCTATTTTTGCTATAAATAAATATAAATGTCACTCAAGAAAAAGATCAAAAACTATTGAAATAAGATATTTTCTAGATTGGTTTAAGGTATAGTGTTAAAGTTTTCAGTATTTGCAATAATCACTTAGATTTAGAGACTGCACTAAAATCAAGAAATAAGGTGCCATAATCCAGTGCTATTACTCATTGTTCATAATTTTTTCATGAAAACTCTCTGAAATGTGGTAAAAGTCAAAAAATAAAAAAGATTTTTTCTTCTTGTTACTCTTATGTGTAACAAGAATTTCACTCCAGTAACAGTTTTAGATATTTTTCGGCAAAAAAATTTCAAAATTTCGAAATTTTTTTATAAACTGTAACAAAAATTCGTTATTAGAAAATTTATTCAATATTGTTTATATTATGTTAAATGAGCTCTTTAAGAACTTATGCACAAACATTTTTTGAATCTTTCTGCAAAGTTTGGAAAACGCCTAATTATCAAGGAGATCACAGAGTACTTTCAACGTGCTCACATTCGACTTCTATCTATCAGCTTAAACTCGCTCTCGTCCGGCCACATGAGGGAAGGCCATTATTTTGGTGTCCAATACTTATGCTTATAAACAAATGTAATTCTCTTTTTAACCTTAACAACCGTAAGCAATGTTTTTTGTGCTGAATTTTGACATGGTAAGCATTGGGAGCCTAACTTGAACTGTTCTAACAAACACTTCAAAGCAATAATGGGTGCAATTTTATTAAACTCTGTAGATGCAACAATAAACGTTCTTTCTAAAAACTATGAATTCTGTATGATATGCTTATAAAAAAAGCTTTTCATCGATTTCAGGATTAATGACAAAATAAAAAGAGTTTGTATTCAGGACAAGTCACTGCAATGTTTTCAAAAGCTCTCTGAAAACATGTCAAAGAGTACTGAAATGGCACTTAAGAACAAAAGGACGATAATTTTATAATACTATTAAAAAATTACCATTTGTGGCTTTATTACTTTATTTTATTAACCTTGATTTTTTGAAAAAAAAATCCTGGAGGTTCTACAAATTTTCGAAAAAAAGTTGAAAATTAAAGATATTTATTAATATAATAATTATATCAAAGTTAAAATTTTTTCGTACTTAATTAAAAAAAAAATTTATTATTTAGATGCGTCTTATTTTTCAAGTCACAACATAATCTTGCCGTCCATTAAATATTATCAAATATATGACTAATCATCGTCTATCTAACAACACAGCTCAAGTCATTTTTACTGACTTTTTTACAGACAATAAGTCATTTTTACTGGCAGAAGAGTGAAAAAACTACATTCTTCATTGGTTTCATGAGTTAATTAATCATTTTTACTTTAAGATCTGGCCTTAGCTTAATTGAATCGTGTTGAATTTGACATTAGTTTCAGGGCCGACGACACGGGTTTCGAAGTGGGGGGAGGGGGCACAATTGTCAATTCTTAAAAAAGTATTCTATATCTAGAATGTTCTTTTAAAAAAAAAGGTCATTTAGAAAAATAATGAAGGAGGAGGGGGACGTGCTCTCTAGCCCCCCTCGGCCGACATAATATCCGACAAATATCAATATTATCTTATCAGACAAGTAAAGCAATGATTTTCTGAATAATAGCATCAAACATGACATAGTTATCTCTCTTATCTCTAAAGTTTTTTTGGCTATTGACTATTTTAGAAATAAAGGATATTTTTTATAAAATGAGTATTTCTACCGTTTTTGTTGGTGGGTTTGGCAGTGCTATTTTGTTGTTTGAACTTCATATTGATTCTTTAGAAATAAAGCATTCAAGACTTTTTTATAAAGAAACATTTCAATCGGAAAGTTGTCCATCTTTTTTAGAAACTTTTGACAATAAAATTTATTCTGTAAACGAAGTGAGTTTTTAAAAATTCTTAGCATCAGTTAAAGATTTTTCTTTTTTTACTACTACTAATACTACTACTAATACTAAAATTTAATTGTGCTCATAACTTATCTGATTCATTAATTTCTGTTATTATTTTTATGTATAATTGCGTAAAAATATTTAATGCTGCTTAGTTACTTTATTTATAAGATTATGTAAGAGCATTTACTTTTTCAGAGATTGGTTTGACTCTAGAAACGCTTTTATAAAAATTGTTTTTACTGCTACAAATGGAGTTATAATATTTTTCAAAAACATTTTTTCTAAAATAAATAATAGCTTTACAATTTATATCACTTATTCAGACGATGAGTGCTATTCATTTATGTTTAAAAACTGTCCATTGATGAAACCATGATAATAAAACTATAGCTAAATGCTTGCTTAAAATTTTATCTATAGGCTATTGTTGTGTCTTTTTTTTTATAAAACGGAAAAATCATTCAATAATGGCTGGGTTTAATAATAAGTGTAATTTTAACTTAATTGTACTGAGTTAGAAAACAGTTTATTATTCATCAAAAAATTTAATATTAAAATAAGTTTTAATATATTAGCTAAGTACCGAACTTAATAATTGCACTTAGGAGTCTCCAGGCTTCCTAATTTGAAAATATACTTTTGTTAAAAGTATTATTGTTAAAAGTAGTATTGGAAAGTTTTTTTTTATCTTTCAAGTGACTAGTGCAAGTTGTTAGTATAATTTGTTTGTTTTCAAAATGCACTTCTCAGTGCTTTGTAAAAAATGATGAAAAAACTTTTATAACAGAAATTTTAAAAGCAGTAAAATGTAATTAGTTTATCCTAATGTGTTTGTCTTTGTAAAAATGATAAAAATTGTTTACTGTAAAAGTTGATTTATAGTCATATTTTTGTCTGTTCAAACATTACCTTACAACAACAGCTTATTCCTTTGTTAAGTTCATTTTTAATTGGAATTGATTATAAGTTGTTTGTAATACAGAATGGAATATATACTTTCATATTTATACTTTTGGAATATATGTTTTTATATGTATACTCCATTAAATTTACTTCTGATTAGTTCTTAAATAATTTATTCCTTAATAAAATGAATGTTTTTCTATATTTAGGTTGATTATTTTGATGGTAAAAAATCTGGTGGTCTAACATATTTTGAGATTACTGATTCTGGAACACTTAACAAAGTTCAAGAACAATGTTCAGGTGGTTTAAGTCCATGCCATTTAGCATACAGCTATGATAAAAACTGTATTTATGTTGCGAACTATGCATCAGGCCACTTTGCTGTGTTTAAAGTTGACAAAGATGGTAGTTTAGGAAGCTTATTGTACAGTAAATATTTTGATACTGGAAGTGGGTGTAATACTGAAAGGCAATCCTCAAGTCATCCTCATGGAGTTTACATAAAAGACAATTATGTTTATGTAGTTGATCTTGGTGCAGACCGTATTTGGTGTTTTAATCATAAAAACGAGTCATTGAGTTTGAGTCCTGTGTGTATTTTAACTCCTTCTGGTTCTGGACCCAGACATATGGTTTTTCACAAAATTTATAGTTTAGCGTTTGTGTTGACAGAACTATCTAATGAAATTTTAGTTTATTCATATGCATCTGAGACTGGTAATTTGAAATTAATTTCCTCCTATCCTTTTATATCAGATGCCAGTCAGAATGAAAATGGTGACCTAGAAGAAAACTTTGGTTCAGAAATACTCATTCATCCAAATGGAGAGTTTTTATATATAAGTAACCGCGTTCATGGAGCCATAATATCTTATAAGATATTAGATTCAGAAGGTAGTTTAAAAAAGATTCAACATTACTTAACTGCTGGAACATGGCCTCGTCATTTTGCAATTCATCCTAGTGGAAAGGTTATTCTGTGTGCTGATCAGTTTAAGGACATAGTTGAAGTTATTGCTGTGAATGCATCAACTGGAATGCTAGAAAAAATTGAAATAGTGGAATGTAAAAACCAACCTTCATGCATTGTGTTTAAAAAGTTCTAAAGAATGTTTACAGATATACTATTTCATATTTCATTGATATATAAAATGTTAGAGGGATTTACTTACTAATTTTTTTATATATGTTTTCTTAGTTTTTTGTTGCAAAAATTTTTTCTTACAAAATTTATAAATTTCATACAACACATAAAAATACATATGCACTTTTTTATATAATAAATGGATTATTATTTAAAGACATTTTGAGGCTCAAATAATTTTTGAATGTTTCTTTGTAAAATATGCTTTATAGATGATTATAAAGATCTTGATAGAAATGAAATATATAAAGAAAAACACAGTTTTCAATTCTTTACAATCTTTGTTAAACACAACTTACAAGTTTACAATCTTTGGTTTATTAAAAATATAATATTGCATCAAGATTATTTCTTTATACTAAAGTCTATAAAGTTTGCAGGTTGTTAAAGAGGTTTTCCAAGCTTTACACTTTTTTAATGTCTCCTGAGATGGGTATAGTCTTACGTAAATACAGAGATAAATAATATTATGATCTATCTCATATTTCATATATGATCTGTCTATATATTTATATATATGTATGTATATATATATATATATATATATATATATATATATATATGTATATATATATATGTATATATATATATATATGTATATGTATATATATATATATATATATATATATATATATATATATATGTATATATATATATATACTATATATATATATATATATATATATATATATATATATATATATATATATATATATATATATATATATATATATATATACATACATACATACATACATACATATATATAAATAAAGACAGATCATATATGAAATATTTATAATATAAATAAATATAATATAATAGAAATTAAATGCAATAGAAATTAAATGCAATAGTTATAGCAATGAAATGAGAATTTAAACGTTAAACGGACCTCCTAAGTTTCTGAAACCTAGGCGTTCAATCCGTCTGGAAACAAGAGGTCCTAAAAAAGTGTTCTAGAACCCTTTGAATAAAAAAATTCTTGAACCCACGGAGTTCCAGAACTCTACAAATTGGGGTTCTTAGAAAAAGTTCTTGAACCCTTAGTTTAAAAAAGGTTCTGGTCCAGAACTTCTAAAACATTTTTCGAGTTCCGAGTTCTAGAACTTCTTTATTCGGGGTGTTTTGGGTTCGGAACCCCATTTAAGGATCTAATCCCAGCAAATCGCTATGATTATAAAAACAAAGTAGTGTTATCTAGTTATATTATTAAAGATACTAGAAATAATGCTTTATACACATAATTGATGTAAATTAAAAACAATTACGGTTCTAAGATTAAAACTTAAGGAGCCCCACAAACATTAAGAACATTTGACTCCTTGTTTATTACAAACTTTATACATAAAAGTTTGTTCTGCTTTAAGTAATTATAAATTCGATGGTAGAATACTTTTTCATAAACTTTAAAAAACACTGGTAGAAGGGAAAGTTCTTTGAAGGTAACCTCTAGAATGGAAAACGAAGAACGTAGAACGGTAGACATATCATTACAATCGCCACTTTTGTGAACAGGGTTGACTTTAGCAACTTTTAATATATCAGGAAAAGTACTGTTTGAAAAGAAAATGATATTACTGTTTGAAAAGAAAATGATACGCTACATTGCTAGTAATGTCGTCTTCTCCAATAAATTCGTCAAATTTCTTATTTCATCATCATCTAGTATCATCGACTGTTTATTAAACATCAAAATAAAAGGTATTTTCAAAGTTGTTTCAATTAAAACAATTATTTTATGGGGAGCCTTGTGCAGTTAAAAAAAAAAGTTTTGAATTATTCTTATTCTTATAATTATTATTTAGATGATCCTAGAAGTCTTAACGGTCTGAACGGTCTTATAATTTAACCCCTAGCCTAGTATTTCATTGACTAGTTATTTTTTCATTTAGTTAATTACTTGATTTTTTATTTAGTTTATAAGCTAACAATTTAACATTTTATATATAAATTGTTTTTAAAACATTGCATTTATTAAATCTCGTCCGAAGAGACTTTTTTAATGTATTAAACGATTTTACGCTGCTTAAATGCATGATAACCCTAGAAATTATGTCTAATGAATAAAAATCTTTAAAATTTATTATTTAGATGTATTTATGGCGTGCTTGTTTAAGTGTTTTCTTGGTTTGTAAACCAAGATACAGCTACATTAAATTAATAATGAACATAATAATTTAGTATCAACTTGATGTCATTGTAGTTTCACATCAAAATCGACTTTATAAGTTTAGCGTTAAACGCTTCATATCTTCTAATGCAATTCAACATAATTTATATACAATCATATTCTCTTGGTATTTACAACTATGACTTTATATTATATATAACTATTTACAATTAACGCAAATCGATCGTTAACAATCATAAAATATAATTACACTTTATATCGATCGTTAACAATCATAAAATATAATTATACTTTACACTTCCCCTTGGTGACAATGACCATCTCGTCTCAAGGACTAAATCATTTAGGGATCCCCCTTTTTCGTGTGCTTCTAAGTAACACTGATGTTTTGCTTGTTTTTTTTCCAGGCAGCGCCACGTATAATTCATCTTCTGAACCCTCACTTAAATCATTATCACCTCTTCCTTGTCCAAGATCTTCATTCAATATGTTGTCAACTCTTACTTATCTTAGGTCTCGTACATGTCGACACATTTTGTCCACTTCTACCGTTTGCTCCGAGATTATCCCTGTAATTATTCCAATCTTATATTGAGAGTCGCATCGGCTATCCGGGGATTTAACCCATACTTTATCGCCAAGTTTGAGTTTATTGGTTATCTTCTTACGAGAATCATGTGCATTCTTGTTGTTATCAATTCCTCTTAATCTAATTTCTTATTAATATAATTTATTTGCAGGTGCAGTAGAAGACTAACAACTATCTTTTGGACTAACGTTATACCAATAAACTGCCTCCAGTATGCTGCACGGAAGCATACTGGAAGCAGTTTATTGGTATAACGCCGTTTTTTTGACAGTTCGGTGACACCGTTCTGCAATTCCATTTCCCGAAGGTACATAAGCGCACCTAAATCAAAGTTTTACGTTCCATTTATTCACGAACTGAGAGAACAATGTGCTTCGAAATGCAGTACCATTGTCCGTCAGTATTTCATCAAGACCTCCTCGTTCGAGAAATATCGTGTTTAGTTCTTGAATAACACATGCACTATTTTGATCTTTAAAATTTCTGATTGACAGGCAATGCATTTCTCAACCACTTGTTTTACGTCTTCTTTCCTCACTGACGGGTCGATTTTACGAGTGAAGTACAATGTTTTCTTTACGCCATAATGTCCTGTAGATCTATAAACCTGCTTGATGTCTTGGCAGATAGCGAAATACTACTAAAGCCACTTGCTGCCATTTCATTGGGTTTATCATCCAATTTTAACCAACTATTGGGCACTCTAGAAGCGACAAGTTTAATATCTACTTTGAGTTGGTATTCTTCCACTATATTCGCAATGTTATGAAGTCTTCTTCTTATCAGCATTTTGTTTGAAGCTTTTGTTCTCAATCTAGATTTTCCAGTAAGTGCGTCGGTAACTCAAAGGAACTCCGCTTTCGAATCAGTGCAGATGTGTAGAATTTCCATTTTCCAATTAAGGCCCATATTTAGTCCTTTAATTACTGCATCAAGTTCAGACATGTTTATATGTGTTGTGTTGTCTTTTTTTAACCAACAAGCGTCTTCGATTATGTTGCCATCAACCTCGACAACCACGCCTAGTGCTATTGAACTAGCATCTACCCAAATTGTTGCCTCGTTACTGTACACTCCAAACTCAACACTCCAAATTCCTTTAGCAGGATCGTCGTTTCGTGTTCTTTGTATCATATCATTCAGCAATTTCTCCAGATAATTGCATTTTATTTTTTCATCCCACGTTTTCGTCAAGGCGTTTGCTGTTCTTTTAATATATGATGAGGCTACACGCAATCAACCACAAACTGGAAGATTTCCCGACATTTTTCCGCACAAAGAAAAGATGTTACGTCTTGTAAGTGATTTCGAAATTTCACCAAAATCATTATCTCTTCTCCAACACAACTTTTTATTTTCCATTCTGATTTGTAAACCAAAAACTCTTGTTCTATCGGATACGAGGACCACCGGCTTGCAATGAAGCCCATAGGTTTCCAAATGATCAAGTACGCGACGAACAGGTATTATGTATTCATTCACAAAAATATCATCAATGTATGATGACGTTCCTTTACAGATTGTTTCGTCTTGCGATAGCACTTTGTCCAACATCGCTTTCATTATGACTGGCGCAACATTTAGTCCGAATCCCAAACGTGTTTAACAAAATCTTTTCCCACGGAACACAACAGTAAGCCTAAAGTTTCTCATCAATTTTTAGTTGCATATAAGCTGAAGATAAATCAATTATTGAAACATTTTCTCCAAACCGTCTCCAGTCTCGAAGTTTGTCAGCACACGCATCTGTGTTTACAGTGAATGCTTCAATAAACATGTTCAGCTCCCTGAAGTCCAATACTGGTCGTACTTTTTCTTTATTTCGCTGCACGACTGCCATGAGAGGAACCAAACCTTTTATTGGACCGTGTTTCTTCAAATCGTACTTTTGCAGCCATTTTTTCTCTATCCATCCTTCAATTTCTTTTTCGCAATCGTGTTTTATGCCAACAGGGATAGTGTATTCAACAATCTTGTTTACTAAAGTTTCAGGTTGAGAATTATTATTCCATTTCCAGGCAATTATCCATTCTCGATTTTCTTTTTCAAACAAAGCTGTGAAATCTCGAGCTGTTATATTCAAATTACTGACATCTTTTGACATATCACTTCTTAGTCCAAGTAAACATGATTCGTTTCTTCCCATAAAACAAACATCAAGAGTTGCAGATATTGATACTCCACCAAAAGCCACTATTCCATCCATACCCATCAAAAAACAATAACCAAGTGGTTTGAAGTCAACTACAAGTGCTTCCACAAAAACTTCATTTCCATTTGGCGTGACGATTTGAGTTCGGCTAACGCCTTCGCACTGTTGTTGTTGTCCATTTACAGTTACCATGCTAACTACTTTCTTCGTAATTTTTGGCGCACATTTTTTATAAATGATACAGCAGGTACATCCAGAGTCAATCAACACATCACGAAAAACGCCGTTAATGTCCAAGCGTATAGTAGGTAACGCCATTATTGATCGGTTGGGGAGAGAGCTGATCTTCAAGCAACCTCAACTCAGCACGTCATTTTGTTGCAGCAGCAGCAAAATTTTCATTCGTTCCATCGTTCCGTTCTTCAATCGTGCTCTTGCTCGTGCAAGTATTTGTATAGTAGTAAGATC